GGGGAGGGGAGGGATGGAGGGGGTGTTAAGCCCGTGAGCCCCTCACCCCGCCCCGCCTCTGATCACCGTCACTGCTGTCTTCTCTCATTGTTTGCTTCTCCGGAGAAACGCCGTAAGTCGAGAGGCTGACCCTGATGAAGGATATTATATTATGACATTTTATCTCTCATAACAGAATAGGAAATTGTCTTTAAGTGACATTGCCATAGTTTTGAGAAAATCCAGTTCGAAAATTTTGGTCTTTACGAAATTCTTAGGAACTGTAATCATTGTTTCTAAATTGTCGTATTTTAAGAAAAGTTAGGCAATATATATATTGGCCCATTGTTAAAAGGTACAACCTTTATTGCAGTACATTTTTGTATATAATTTGATCTCACAGAGCTGTTTAATTTCCTGATTTGTGCCAGTCTGGCACGTGAGACAATTCTGCCTTCAAAGGTCGATGTGTTCCCCCTGGCGCTCTTGTCTTGCCCTGAGGGACGAAATAATGTTCTGTCCGTGCCACAGAAGTGGGAGACATGGACAGAGGGAACAGTAGCAACAAAATAAATGTGTCACCACGCGGTGGAATCAGGCTCTCGTCAGTTTTTGGGCATGTAGAGTTATTGGTATCACCTGAAAGTTTGTTCATTTCTCTTGATTTGAATGAAACAAATATCCATTTATCTAGAACAGAAGTTGAAATATTTGCGATTGGAGGAGGTAAGGGTTGCCTGGTTTCAGAGGTGAACTTAGCGAAAAAATTGCTGCCAACGTTTCTTAATTTTCATAGCTTGAGAATCCTTGGAAACTGAAAATTGACATTTTTGTGTGCCTTTAATCGATGTTTTTCCGTAAAATCCACACAGAAATGTGTTTTTAAAGGATATAGAAGGTGTTGAGCGAAAAAAAAGAAGAAAATTAGAAAAAAAATTGCCCAACGGTCAGAAAAATGAGTTTCTTTTATTTCATTATGCTGAAGAGTGCCTGATTTCAAAACGCTGCCTCACAAAATGGTTTATTAGAAACGGCTAATCGGAAAGGACCACATTGCGGTATCTTCCGTTACGACTCCGGATTCTTGCTCTACATCATCAGCATCCTCTCTCCCCCCGTGCCGGAGTATAGACCACCACACCACACCAACAAGAGCTCCCCGCCTACTTCTGCCCCGGGCTATTATACTATAGTCTCCCTCCACCTCAGTCCAGCAGTATCCCATCTCGTCCTTTAGGTCAGAATCTACTCGAATGTCCCTCCTTGCTATCCAGGCCTACCCCCCCCCA